AAAAGTTTACCTTGGATGTAATAGATTTGAGTAGGTAATTTAACTCGCTATGAATAGATTATTTTCACGTGACTCTAATTGATCATAACTATTAGTTTAATCGATTCGAGTAAATTATATTATTAGGTGTGGATGAGTTATTAAATGTGACATGATTAAATTACGAAACTTGATTCGAGTAAAACTAAATCGAGTAAAGTGGTACTATTTATTAATCCTCAAATGTGATTGTGAATATTGGGTGTCAGGTTTGGGGACAAGCACCACAAAGAACGCTACTCAAAAACTCCGGTGGAGGAGTCATTTACAAGATAGAATTTTTTGCAAGATAGGTACACTACCCTACAACTTTTTGTAATAATTTATTAGACTTTTAAACATATATTTTTGTTTTATTGCTAGAAATAATTAATTGAGCTAAGACACATGGTAGTATTACGAGAGTCCTTTAAGTGATGAGAGAGGATTATGTTAGTTAGGCCGTTTAAGTAACATGAATTATTTATATGGCTTGAGTTGTGTACGTGACCGGATTTGATTATGTGGTGGAGTTGTCTAAGTGACGTGATCAAAAACTCTTTGCGTGATGTGGTCGTCTGAAGGACATACACCATTAATGTGGTTTGGGTTGTCCGAGTGACGAATGATATCTATGTGATGATACAAACTTACGATACATGTTGCCTGAGTGGTGCAAAAATCTGCGCAATTAAATATAGCCTGTGTGGCGATTGTTGTTTACAAGACGATTAGTTTGTGTGCGTGTGGGGTATTCATTATGTGGAATAATTTAATTACGTGAAAGTAAATATATGTTTTGTATATTTTATAGATGTGGTATTTACAAATTACGTCTATGTGATGTAAACGAACATGTATGAGGTGAAGTAGAATTTGAAAATAAGTATCTAATGCGTGATTAAGGTTCATAAATAAATAAAGTTTTCTTTATCACTTATTGTGCTCATAAATATTGATCTCATCTTTATTCTTATTAATGGTCTTAATAACTTTTCAGCAAAAACCGTAAAGACGTTAAGAGTTCACTGCCGAGTCTAGAAGCTCGATTGGGATGCCATCATGGGGGTCATGTTTCTATGTCCTTTAAATTTAAATTGTATTTTTATATATCATATTCTTGATATCAATATTACGGTCTATAAATAAGTAAGGCTTAGGAGTGCTCAAATTTTCGATTGGCCGCAATTTCCTACCCTACCCTACCCTACTAAACGGTTAGCCGCAAAAATTAGGTAGGAATGCAGAAGAGTTTTTGATTTTTCAATTAAATCGGGTAGGAATGCGGAATACTCATCAATTTTTGCATTCCAACCCTACCCTACCGGCAAAAAATATATTTAAATTTTTCATATTTTTTTTAGTAATTATAAGAANGTTGGTACAGTGACCCCGGATTATCTAACTGAACGCACAATTCTTTCTGCATGTAATGAGGATGTTAGTTTTATAAATGCGGCAGCATTGAATATACCCCTTGGTGAGACTATTACATATTTAGTTGCAGACAAAATTTCAGAAGATGAGGAACTTGATCATATTATCACGAACCGTTTTCCAAATGAGTATCTAAACTCTCTAAATCCTTCAGTACTATCGCCGTTTAAGCTGGAGTTAAAAGTGGGTTATCCAATAATGTTGTTGTAGAATTTGATGCCAAAAGATGGACTTTGTAATGACACGCAATTAATGGTTGTCAGATGTGCATCGCATGTAATTGAAGCTCAAATGTTGAATGGACCATTATCAGGCAATTTAGTCTTCATTCCAAGAAAATCACTTACACCATCATCTTTGAAATTACCTTTTCAAATAACAAGATGTCAGTTTCCTGTGCGCTTAACATATGCTATGACAATCAATAAATCTCAAGGACAATCTGTCAAATTCGTTGGGGGTAGATTTGCACATACCAGTGTTTAGTCATGGACACCTGTATGTGGCACTATCCAGATGTACATCTTCTGATCGTATAAGTGTTCTTCTTCCTGAAGATGCGTCGAATTGCACATAAAACATCGTTTCCCTAAAGTTTTGTTATAAGACTTCCTATTCAGTTATTTACAAAAGGTACTATTTAGTTACAATTTTTTTCATATTGAATACACATAATTAAAATAACAATGTTAACTTTACATTATCATCATTCAATATTTGTGGGATTGGTGTGAATTGGTTAAAGAGATGAAAATATTAAATACCGCGACTTCACGGATGGGATTATCGTAATAAGGTAAGTCGATCCTTACATTGTTGCAGCGTACTATATTTTTTTTATAAATTCTATATATTTCACCAAGATTTGTTTTTTCTTTTTTTCCTATAAAACTAGGTTGTTGTCCATTCTCCCAACTTGAGGTTTCACCTATGTATTGATACAAGAACGTTCAGAAAAGTGATGAAGAAAAACTTTAATGAAGAGAAAGTTTAATGAACTACTAGAAGATCGAATCATTAATTATATTATTTAATATTACATTCAATCAAAAGCTACAAGGTCAAACCATTCAATTAATGTTTTTGAATAAGTCACACTATTTTAATATTTTTTGAATTTAATTCATATGCATAGATTTATATTTGTTGTCTATCTTCTTGGTTTAATTGTTGCATGTTTATGATTATCAAGAATAATATTGCAACAATGAATAATAAGGTTATCATTTTAATTATTCTATTTCTCTTATTGTGATTGGTGTGTTGTTCTTATTCTTACAATATGAGATCACAAGTGATAGTAAAAAATATTTTATTGTTGTAATATTGGTTAACTATTATTAATTTTATTATTATCAATTTAATTTGAAAATTTTATATTATGTACAGATAATATGGAACGTCCTCCCATCTATGTACGTTGCAGCATGCGTTTGGCAGTAGCAAACATAGTAGATAAATTTGAAAATGATTCTTTTGAAGATGGAACCCCAATCTCAGAGTTTGGGTTTGAAAAAATTAGATTAGGTTGTATGCTGCAAAAATGTAGGAAAAAACATAAGTGAAGATTATATTATGCAGAAAATAGTAGAGACCCTTCCCACCACCTAAGATTCTGCAAAAGAAAAAATTTGTAATCATGACCAACCAACCTATGCGGTACGATTTATACAATTATTGGCTGAAGCAGAGTGCAAGATCCATCCATTTTGAATACAGTTTGAGACAGAGAAAATGGATCCACAATCAAATGTCATAGACTATATAAAAAGAAAGAATCATTATTTAGAAAATTGAGACAAAAAGGTTTCAGTTCGAATAATCCAATAATGTTGTACGCTATTGTTAACACGCTTCTATCTTCGTGGCCGATTGACTTCATTCATATGCAGTTCGAGAATGACTTCCTAGATATGATAGAATTGGAGGATCTATTAGAGGAAATCAAAATGACCTAATCTGTTTACGAACATTAGAAGACTGTGAGGCTCAACAGGGGAACAATGAACATCATAATTTATGAAACAATACTTTTCAGGTAACTATGTTTTCTCAATCTTTTTATTATTTGAGTGTGGATGAATTGAAAAAAATATTTGTATGTTTTTATAGAATGAAAAAAACATCTAAATATATTATTTTTTATGAATACAGGTTGTATTCATTCTTTTGGAAACTGGTGGAATCTCAAATGACAAAACTTATTCTTTTGACAACATCTGTGAACTTATTTTTATTATGTAGATGGTTGTATTTGTGGACAATTTTTTGTTTGAGATATTTATTACATAGGTGAATTGAGTTTATAATTATGTTATGTTATTGAATTGAATTATGGTGATGGTGACAAATACAAAAAAAATTTATTGATTTCATTTATTACATAAAGATTGTAAATTTGATTTGGTTCTATTAGTATTTTTTTTCCCTGATGTATTTGTATATGTATTGTTGCTTTAGAGAATTTTGTTTTCAGTTTTTACAAATAACGCAGTACCTTCAAGTACGGACAATTACTAGTATCCCTCTTATTTTCCATTCCTCTCACTTTCAATCCTTACCAAACGGAGCATTAGAGATTCCAAAGCTCGATTAAAACCTGAACCTCGGCAACCCNGTGGGCAGCTAACCAGAAAATATTCACAAGGAAGAGTATGGTAGTTGAATTATCAATAGTAAAATTCCACATGACATCCATATGCCAAAGATATATAAAAGTTCAACACTATACCCATAATTTCTCATATCCACAGTCCCAATGTTAGGACACACCGGGAAGTCCACACTAACTATTCATCAGCTACCAATGCCACAAGCATGGATGCAAATCACCTCAATACACATATTGACGCCTTACTTGTCAGCTGCAGATAATGCCAACTCTTTGTTTCAAAGTCACTCCTCCATATACAAGTATTCCCCCTTTTGAAGAGACTTCCTACAGTTTAATTGCAAAAAATTACAAATCCACTTTCAGGTACTATGAACCACCAGAGTTTCAACGAGTCTTATGATATTTTTCTATCTACGTTTTTTAGTGTCAAAAATTTCAAAATTTCTAGAATTTTGTGATTCCTATGGTTCTGGTCTGGATTGAAAATGGTGTCAAAAACAAGACTAATTCAAGTCATTTGCTGCCTCTGTCATTACCACACAATGCTCCAGGCTAATGCTTATTTCACATTATTGAGTACCAATCTATAAGGCCTCAAGAGTCCCTGCCACCAAGGCACTTCCAATAAAAGATGAAAAGGATTCGTTCCCCTTCCAGAATTTCCACTTTCTTTTTTTAGATTCACTCGAGAGCGAGCATGACTAACAACTTCATTTCTCCTTGTCAGAACTAAGCTTATCCAGAAAAGGGACTAAAGCATAAAGAGAAGGGGCAAAATCAACAAGCAGAGTCAAAATCAGAATCAACTCCATTAACTTACACCCATGCCTAATACCCCATGTGAGGAAACATTCCACCAGCTAATCTTGACTGTATGTTTGGCTGGAAAAGCAACCAAAGTTGATCAAAAGAAGAGACCAGACCAAAGATTTCAAAGGGAGCTCTCAGCCTCTTCTTCAGAGGAGGCAGAAGAATCAGTGGCTTTGGCAAGAAATTCAAGCATCGTTATCACTTCAGATGTGTCATCCAAATAATATTTGGCTTTGCTTGGCTTTTGTCCCACTGTACAGGCAAACACTGAAATATACGCTGAAAGCATATTTCTTGACAAAGCATTTCCAATAATTTCAAACATGTCCTCGTCAGGTCTGTCATTACCAATACAAAGCACAAAATCAGCCTGTCTCCCATTCTCAAACATTGATGTGAAGATTTTTTCTGCTACTAAACCTTTGCTGGCTCCCTGGAAAAACATAAGCATGGAAATCTCCCATTGATAAAGCAGAACAATGTCAATTACTTAATACAAAGCAAGAGGAAATATAGAGTACAGGATAAAGGAAAACAATAGACATATTTTAACCAGGCCGCATGCCTGCAGTGATGATAAAGGCAAAGCCACACTACGAAATTTTCAGATATCTATATCCAAGCAGTCGACTGTCAAGTAAAATAAAATCTATAAGATGTGAGAATTGTTTGCTATGTACGAAAGGAAGAAATTAGCAGAGAAAGTTCTTGAAACGTACAGAAAGGAATGAAATGGTGACAATTATATTAGGAAAGCATTAAGTAAATAATTTATGTTTTCGAAAGGAATTATAGGTGAACAAGAATGCATGCCAACAATGAACGAGATCACCCATCAAAAGGAATTCAGAATGACTCAATCTTGGAAATAATGTTGGCAGAACTTTTCATGCCGTTCTTGAAGATGAGCCTAATGCAACAAGCTGTGGTCTTGTACTTTCATACAAAACACACACGACTTGAAATTTTAGCTGAACTTCATTGTTTTCGCGATAAGTGAACGATTTATTAAACTCCATAAACTAAATAGCAAACAGAGAAACGTAATACATGCCTGAGGCTTGACTTCTACAATGAACTGACCGCCCTTCACAGCGACAGATTCATTAGCTAGAACACTCTCGAGATGATCTAACATCTCCTTTGCCTGAGAGAACCCAAAGCCTGGATCTGCATCTCGGTAATGCCAGACTAAAGCACTTTCCTTTGTTTCGATGGCAGAACCATCAGTAGCCTCAGTATACAGGTTCAGCAATCTGCATCCATCCAAATCCAGAATCATGGCCACATATTTTCCATTCATCACTTTGTGACCACCTGAGATGTTGCAAAATTGAAATTAAACACGACATTGTAAAATAACTATGGTAAATGAAGGCAAAAAAGAGGGAGAGTATCGATTTAAAATTAGCACTCAGTACAGTGACCCCTTCTCTCTCTCTCTCTCTCTCTCTCTCTCTCTCTCTCTCTCTCTTCTTCCCTCAAGTTGTCTGTATTTGCTCTTTTTTTAAACACGGACGAGACTAGAAAGAGAAATAACATAACAATATAAAGCACATTCCGCACTATGCCATTACTTTATTAGCCTTGAACATTAACCCTACCCCAAGAAGCCACATGGAAATCCATGTCTAGGCATGTTTTATCACACATGCTGCATGTAGATGGGTGTTTACCTGCTTCCTAACAATATTCCATCGACATCTAGCACAAAGGCATCTTATCTCCATTAACAACCATAATAGTGGATAACATCATGTCAGCTTCAAAAATTGAGAGCGTGTCACCTCAAATATTGCACATTAAAGATGAAGTGCAAAAATTGGCTGAGACTGTTCCATCATCCCATTTGCATTCTTGGCAACATCAGTATCTTTCTAGAAAACACTAATAAATTGTTCAAAAAAGGCAGAGTGAGAATCCAACTGATCATGTAACCAATGGATGCCCAAGATATAGAGGTGGTAATCGATTCGAACCTTACGACGTTCGGTATGCTCAGGCTCGGTTTGAGTAGTTTAAAGGTTCTTCCCTAATCTAAGAAAAGAACATCAAAAATCCGAAAATCACAAATTTCTAACTCAAATTTGAGCATAGATACAAAACCCAACATAAAAATTCTCACAACAAAAATTACAAATTCAAAATACATCAAAGCCAAAAAAAAATTAAAAAAAAATCACAATATAAAAATATAACATATATATACATACACATGCGTTGAAGGGACCACACATAACCATTATCCACTCTTGCAGGTACACTGTGCCAAAGAGAAGGACTATATCGAGTAAGAAATAGGATGGCATAATCTTTGATTACCATTAACCATCCAAATAATTTTTAGAGAGATTGAGAGGCAAAACAAATATAAGATTGCTGACGTTTGTGCTTTGTAGAGAAAGAGAGTAGTTTGAGAAAGGGCTGTGGAAACGTCGATTGACGCTGGTATACAAGAGAAAATACCGAAGCCTGGGGAGAGAGAGAGAGAGCATAATAAATGTTTCAATGACATCTTAGCCGTATATGAGAGAGAGAGAGGGAGGTAGAGAGGAATAAATTAAGGGAGATAAAGTTGTGCTATACTATAGGAGCTATGCTTAGTCTTTGGCTGGTGAGAGATTAGAATTGTGCACCACATTTGGACTAGTTGTAGGCTTGTAAAATTACAGCACATCCTATTTCCAACTGGTAGCTATCACACAAAATAGATCAAGCTCAGAGCTCGCGACCTACTCAAGTCGGGCTTCATATTCTGTACGAGCTTAAACAGTTGATCAAGCTCAGCTCATATTATAAAATGAGAGAACTTAAACAAGCTAAAAATGAGCCAAGCTCGAGCTGAATTCGAGTAGCCCTGATCATTTACCCACCCTACCAAGATATGTAGTGTCATAAGTAGGCAAAACCATTAGGTAATTGTTATTTAATGTGTCCTATTCGTTCTGATAACTTTAATCACCTGTTTGCACTTGATTGATTTAGGAAGAAGGAAGAAAAGCATTTGTATTATACTTTCTTAACTGTATAAGGAAAGATCCTTCTTGCTTTATGGCTTACGTTAATTAGTTTTGTCTATGCATGTGTGTTTGTGTATCTGAGAGAGAGGGAGTCCTCTTAATTGATCCTAACGAAATACCTTATGGGTACATAGACACTAAGACATTGATCCGTTCCCATTCACCACATGGTCATCAACATTTCTTAATTTATGCAAACACATACCAATGCATTCATCACAACCCCTTGACAATCGCCCCTATCATTTTCAACTCCCAACACTGAACCTTATTTAAGTGGTAGTAATTCTACTTGGTATTAATACATTTATATTATAAATGAGGCTATTTTAGTATGGAAGAGAGGAGAGAAAAGGGGTAAAATTTTGCAAGGATGGTTAGGGGTCCCTTGGGTGTGTCCAGAGTGTTGTGAATCGGTGTTCATTATTGTTTTTGGGGTTTTTGCTCAAACAAATAAGCTCAGATCTGATGAAATTGTGTGGTTCTAGGAATGATGGGGGTGGTACAGTTGAAAAGAAATAGAAGGGTCTTTGCTTTTAGATGGATTTTACTAGAAGAGTTACGGGATAAAATGTCATTCTTACCATTTCTTTAGGCTTCAACTTCTTGTTTATATTATTTCTAACAAAAAATATGTAAGACCCGAACGCGCATGACAAACATATAATATTTATAATAAGCATATTCACATATGACATGCGTGTGTAGGATTGACAACCAGTATTTAATTACAAGTAATGATATGAAACTTGAACCTGAGCGCTGAATATTTTAATAATCAAACATAATTTTATACAAAATGATTATAAGGGGAATTGTTTTATTTAAAGTGTGAAAAGTTAAATACAAATGTTGACATGTGATATGACTTTATTATTTTATGTACGTTAGCGCATATGGAATTAATCGGGTGACAAGCATGTGACATAAATTTATTGCAATAAAAATAAAATGTTTAGCATGTACAAGGAGTGGTTAGGGGTCCGAAATACGAATTTAATGGTTTATCAATAATTTTAGATATATCTATATAATAAGATAGTTCACAAGTTGAATTTTATCCCCTACACATTTTTTTCCTAAAAACATCACATCACATCACTTTTTTCTATCACATATTCAATTATTTTAATATTTGATTAATTTATAGTTTAATATGTTTTTTATTTCAAATATTATTCATACACGATAGTATACATATGTTGAAAAAATTGTCAGATTACGTATTTTAAAAAAAAATTGTCGATATTTTTAGGAAAATAATGGATAAATATAGATTTTAAATGATGTAATCAAAGAAATGAAAAAAAAAATTATTATTTAATATAATGAGATAGATTTTTTTGGAAACTCAAATTTTATGTTTCATTGTGCCTTCAGGCACAAGTTATGACTAATATATATGTGTGTGTGTGTGTGTGTATAAATTTGCATACAAGAAAATGTGGGTATTTACATTAAAGTGTACATATACATATGTATATAACAAATATGTGTAAGGAATAGATGTATATGCATATATGAGCTAAGGAGTATATATATATAAAATACAAGGCAATGATGAAAGCTTCCACTTAGGAAGATATGTAAGACATGTCTTGCATGCAAAAATAAATAACTAAATAAGAAGTCTTGCACTTAGAAGATTTCGACAAGAACAAGAACCAAAAAGAAAGAAGAAGGAAAGAAAGAAAAAAAAAAGGCAAAAAGAAGAAAAAAAGTGTGGGTGCAAAGGTAAAAATTATGATCCATTTCTTTCTTCTAAAATGTAGAAATTCAACTTTAATATATACATTTTGAGTGTTGCATGTATTTAAAGTATGGTATTTGGTATGTTTTTGGACGGTGTATATATATATATGTATGATGTTTAGTATGAGTTTTGATTTAATGCATGAAGGATTCACCTTAATATTTATGTGGGTATATGAATAAAGTTAGAGTTGTTGTATAAAAAATAGATGGGTGAAATTGTTGTATGTTGCTCATAAGAAAGCATGCAATCTTATGATTTTATGGAAAATTACGTAGATTCAAGTATATTTTGGGTTATTATAATTTTATGAGAAAAGTTTACCTTGGATGTAATAGATTTGAGTAGGTAATTTAACTCGCTATGAATAGATTATTTTCACGTGACTCTAATTGATCATAACTATTAGTTTAATCGATTCGAGTAAATTATATTATTAGGTGTGGATGAGTTATTAAATGTGACATGATTAAATTACGAAACTTGATTCGAGTAAAACTAAATCGAGTAAAGTGGTACTATTTATTAATCCTCAAATGTGATTGTGAATATTGGGTGTCAGGTTTGGGGACAAGCACCACAAAGAACGCTACTCAAAAACTCCGGTGGAGGAGTCATTTACAAGATAGAATTTTTTGCAAGATAGGTACACTACCCTACAACTTTTTGTAATAATTTATTAGACTTTTAAACATATATTTTTGTTTTATTGCTAGAAATAATTAATTGAGCTAAGACACATGGTAGTATTACGAGAGTCCTTTAAGTGATGAGAGAGGATTATGTTAGTTAGGCCGTTTAAGTAACATGAATTATTTATATGGCTTGAGTTGTGTACGTGACCGGATTTGATTATGTGGTGGAGTTGTCTAAGTGACGTGATCAAAAACTCTTTGCGTGATGTGGTCGTCTGAAGGACATACACCATTAATGTGGTTTGGGTTGTCCGAGTGACGAATGATATCTATGTGATGATACAAACTTACGATACATGTTGCCTGAGTGGTGCAAAAATCTGCGCAATTAAATATAGCCTGTGTGGCGATTGTTGTTTACAAGACGATTAGTTTGTGTGCGTGTGGGGTATTCATTATGTGGAATAATTTAATTACGTGAAAGTAAATATATGTTTTGTATATTTTATAGATGTGGTATTTACAAATTACGTCTATGTGATGTAAACGAACATGTATGAGGTGAAGTAGAATTTGAAAATAAGTATCTAATGCGTGATTAAGGTTCATAAATAAATAAAGTTTTCTTTATCACTTATTGTGCTCATAAATATTGATCTCATCTTTATTCTTATTAATGGTCTTAATAACTTTTCAGCAAAAACCGTAAAGACGTTAAGAGTTCACTGCCGAGTCTAGAAGCTCGATTGGGATGCCATCATGGGGGTCATGTTTCTATGTCCTTTAAATTTAAATTGTATTTTTATATATCATATTCTTGATATCAATATTACGGTCTATAAATAAGTAAGGCTTAGGAGTGCTCAAATTTTCGATTGGCCGCAATTTCCTACCCTACCCTACCCTACTAAACGGTTAGCCGCAAAAATTAGGTAGGAATGCAGAAGAGTTTTTGATTTTTCAATTAAATCGGGTAGGAATGCGGAATACTCATCAATTTTTGCATTCCAACCCTACCCTACCGGCAAAAAATATATTTAAATTTTTCATATTTTTTTTAGTAATTATAAGAATATTTGTGTGGTATAATTTATATTATAACATTATCATTGTTGTGGATGTTTGAGTTGCTAAAACATGAACTTATTTTTTGTACAGATTACATGATTTGTGGTGAACTAGTGATCTATTGGAACAGTTATGATTTTAATGTGTTTCATATAGTTCAAATTTAAAATAATTGTATTTTATTTGTGTAACAATTATGATGGATTGACGTTCATACTTTCTTATGTTTTATTATAATTGTTGTTGTAATTGTTTTAGATTTTAGTGTTATTGATTTATTGTGTTGTTAAATTAGTGCATGTTATTTAATTGAATTGTTAAAATGATCCAAAAATTAATAGCTACAAAAGTGTTTACCCGACTTCCTACCCGATTAATCTGATAGGAAGTCGGGTAAGAATACCATACCTGATCGGGTAGAGTAGGGTAAGAAAAAAGTCTTCTGCAAAATATCGGGTCGGAAGACTATATTTCCTACCCGTAGGATAGGGTGAACTCCCCTAGTAAGGCTCATGGCAAGCCATTTCATTAAGGGGTTTAATGAATTTCTTTTATGTGCTTATATTTATATAAAGCAATGTGTATTAAAAGAAAAAAAATGGAAGGAGTATATTATAGATATTGTACCTCGGGTTGGGGTGTTACAGGATAACTAGGCACGAGTGCGTGGGAGTGCTATGATGAATGTCTACATTTGGTTTTTCTTTCTTCTAAGTTGTACCTCTCGAGGACTCCTTGTCATCTCTTGCATTCTCTGCCCTCTTATTATGTCTAAAATCATTACATTTTTGATCAAAAAAATTAGAAAAGAAGTACAATATGGAGGACAAGATGTTCACAAAAAAGAAATAGAACAAAATAAAATATAGAGGAAAAAAAAAAATATTAACCATTTTTGAAACAAATTGAATGTCCAATAAAGGCACCCCTTTGAAAATCTTGGCGGATATGATCTATACATAACAAAATAATACAATTCTATGCCACACGAATGTAAAAGAGGGGCAGTACTTTTGATCACCCTACCACAATTGTAAAAATAAAATCGTATGGTAAACATGTTTTCCACTCTTTTCACATAGAGTTCAGTACTGTAAAAATGAATACAATCTCATTGGAAAATAGCTACAATCTGCTTTTCAAGAAGTCTATCATGCTTTTCGAGAAGTCTCTTATTATGGAAATGGTGTTGGCCAGACAAACAAGAAGTCAGAATTTTGAGCGTACTTTTATGACACACCTCCCCACCATCTATCATAAACAGTGAAACTGCACTTTGATAATGCCAAGTGTTGAATCACACTACGTCTTTGATTGGAAATTAACAGATAAAATTCCTTCACAGAATTATAAACCCATTCCATCTCGAACTTTTCAAACAAGAACTCAAAGATGCAAACAAAACGTAACCGAACTTTGACACAAACTATTTTGGAGATAATGCAACTCAAAAGCTAAATGATCAAGAGATAATACTTTAAAATTCTGTTTAATGGTTCCCATAAGCAAGTTTTTCTATTTGTAAAATTGTTAGCTCATAATCAATATTAAAAAATTATGGGGAAAATGAGAATACTTCTGCAAACTATGGTCTTGGTCTCACTTTGGTCCCCCAACTCCTAATTTTTCAATTTTGCCCCTGAAGATCCAAACTTGCTTTTAAATAATCCAATTAATAGACGTACAAATCGGTTATGGAAATTGTTGTGTATTTTGTACGTGATTCCATCTAAGGTTTTCTTACTTGGAAATATATTAAAACCAGATGGCTCACAGTTGACACATCTGCTCCTCACAGGTATAATGTAACCGGTCTTCCCCTCTATTTTACCAAGCAGAACAGAAGAAAACGAAAAATAAAAGAAGTAGAAGAAGACAGCAGGTAAGACTCTCTCTTACACAAGCAAAAAGAAAAACAAGAGTAATGCAATTCTCCCTCCTCTCTCTAATTTCTCTCTGGAAACCCATCAGCTAAATATATAGTCTTTGCATACACAACACATATAAATATGCCTTAAACTCCTTCACAGGTCATGGAATTAGTTGACCAATCTTCACTCCTACCTTCAACAAGAAACCTTTCTATAATACACCAAATTAACCTAAATGGGTCTGACATATAAATAACAGAGTACTAACCCTAGACTGCCCCACAAGATTTATAAGCTCGCTCTCAATATGTGACTAATCAAGTTCTTTCAGAGAAGAGGAGCTTCGGTGGCAGAAAACAATCAGATTTGACAGCCCCTTGGTCCTTTTTTCATCCTTGAAATTAGGTAGCCATGGATGGAGTGGAAGTGCGCATATTTTTAAAAAAATTCACTCACTGTGAAGCACCACGTAAGGAAAGAAATATTACGGATTCCTAAACCATGCACACATATTTCTGCAAACTCTGAAACTACAGAACGTCACATTGCCTCAAATTCATTGCCCCCTATCTCTCCATGTATGTATTTATGAATATATGTCCGTGTGCCTGTATATGTATACATACACATATATATACATACTTTCAGTAAAGGAGAAAAACATTTACAAGATTTCACACTAAATTATGGTAGCTTCAAATATGCAATTAGTCAAATGGAGTGCACTTGTGCAGACAAATAAGCAAACAGGAGCAGTTAATGGTTCCCAATCCATCCCATGTTCCAAAAAAAATTTGTTCTCCAATAAAATAGTCTAGCAGGTAGTTAAACTTCTGACAGAAGTAAAGAGAAAGAGGAGGAAAGCACACCTCAAGAACTAGTCATGTTCTGCCGCAATTCCAAGCTTCTTGCAAGGAGAAAACCACCTGCTTAGGCTTTCCCTCCCTCTACCACTGACAATGAACACTGTGTTATCTGGAACCCCACAAAGTCTGTTCAAGATGGATATAACCTCCGTACTTGGAGACTTAATGATGGAATTTTGGGGCATTACTGTGCCATCATAGTCCAACAGTATGGCCCTGCTCTTAGACCTACAGTAAGCTGACACAATATCATCGATTGAAAGCTTTCTAAAGTTTGGATCTAGTGCCACAACTCTGAACCCGAAGCCCAAACCAATGCCCGAACATCTTTTCCTGAAATGGTCTGCACAAGTTCTTTCCATATCTTGCAAGAAGCTTCTTGACCAATAAGCCACATCATGGGTGCTAACATAACGATAATGCTTCTCATGTCACAACAGTTTCTCGGGTTCAGCCATTGAGATAGCCTCATTCATTGCCTCTGCAGTCATCTCAACATTCCAGGGGTTGATACGGATCGCCCCACTAAGTGAAGGAGAACACCCAATAAATTCAGATACAACTAACATGCTCTTCTTGGGTCCACTCAAATCTGAACCTGTTTCTGCATCAGGAATTCCCTGTCTACAGACAATATACTCATATGGAGTCAAGTTCATCCCATCCCTAACTGCTGAGACGACGACACACTCTGCAATGCTGTAATAGGCAATCTTTTCACTAATTGACAAAGGCCTATCAATAAAAACTATAGGTTCATACCCAGGCTTCCCAAATTTCTCATTGATTCTGTTGCAGCTTTCCTGTATTTCTGTTTGTACTTTTGCCAAATCTATCTCTTTACCTCTTGCAGGACTTGCAATCTGTATCAGCACAGCCCTTCCTTGCCAATCTGGGTGCTGCTTAAGCATCTGCTCCATTGCTAGAAGTTTCAAATTAATGCCTTTAAAAATATCCATGTCATCAACTCCAAGCAACACAATTTTCCCTTCAAATTTCTGCCTAAGCTCCCCAATCTTTGACTCCTTATCAGCCATTTTCATTACTGACTCAATCTGACCCAGATGAATCCCAACTGGCATAATCTTTATCTCGACAGTCCGACCATAATAATCCAAGCCAATGTGGCCCCTTTTAGATTGATATTCCAAACCTAACATTCGGCTGCAACAAGAAAGGAAATGTCGAGCATAATCAAAGGTGTGGAAACCAATAAGGTCTGAGTTAAGTAGAGCCTTCAGAATTTCTTCTCTAACAGGAAGTGTCCTGTAAACCTCAGATGAAGGAAACGGGCTATGAAGGAAAAACCCCATTCTCAAACGATTGAAGCGCCTCCTCAAGAAGGTGGGCAAAACCATTAAATGATAATCATGAATCCAAACAAAATCATCATCAGGATTTAGCACCTCAATAACTTTTTGTGAAAACAACTTATTGGCAGAAACATATGCTTCCCACATAAAACGATCAAACCGGCCTCCATGATCTGGTGAAAATGGCAACATATAATGGAAAAGAGGCCATAACTGCCTCTTGCAGAAACCATAATAAAACTTGTCCAAAACATTAGGCGGAAGAAAAGCAGGGACGCACTTAAATTTGTCCAACAGATATTGGGCAACATCATCCTGTTCAATCGGATCAACGTTAACGCTCAATGAACCCACATATAACACTTCCATATCTTCCAGCAAACCATCCTTAAGCCGTAATAGCAGTGAGTCCTCATTCCAACTGAAACTCCAGCCTTTATTATCTGGTCTCCGCTTTGCTTTTAGGGGTAGTTGGTTAGCCACAATAATCATCCTATCTGAAGCTAGTGAATAAAGGTTATCAGATGAAACACTGTAAGCCTGCTCATCATCAAGCTCGGAAATATTCCCTGGGACTGTCATTACCCTAGGAAGCCGCCTGCGCTCCCTCTCCCGACACATTATGGGGAAGTTCCCAGATGCCAAATCTAAAAGATTGGTGTATGATCTTGAAATCATTTTTACCCCCACTTTCACTTATTTCTTTCCAAAGAAACCCTCAATATTCTCAACATCCAACAGTAAAATGCACTATTATTTTCTCTCTTGCAGCAAGTATTTCCCAATCATCTACATGAAACATAAACCACCATTTTCACATACTATGACTAAAGAATTGAGACAATAGCCTTAACATCAGATCAAAAAACAGTAGAACAGCCAAAGATCACACCATACAGTGAAAATCAAATAGAATTAATCAAATTATGAAACAGATACATAACCAGGCACTGAACTCAAGCCACTGAGGGAACTATACCCAGATCATAAATTGGCAAAAGAACAACAACCCAATTCTACAAAATCAATAATTTGTTTCTCAGTTATTGGCATGAAACAAAAGCCATACTTTTCACATAAATCACGAAACAATCAAAACACAAACCTATGTATCACAACCAACCAAAAATCAAGAAGTAGAATCAATCACACAATCTTAGGACAGGTATAGATCACACAATGCAGCGAAAATCAAACAAAATCAAGAAGTAGAATCAATCAACCAGATAGATACCCATATACTTAAACTACACACGCAACTAATCTGAATATACCCAGATCATAAAATGGGGAAAAAAACCCAACCACCCAATTCAACAAAAAAAAAACAAGGAATCTGACACAATTCAATTATAGCAAAAAAAGAAAGATAAAAGTCGGAATTGACCTATGCTTAAATCAACCAGATACATGAATCCCTTTCCCATTAAAGTCTTGATCTTAGCTGCGAATTGACGTGACTTCTACGGTTTGCATATAATTTTAAAACAAGCACACGGAAAAATCTAGGGTTTAATCAACAAAAGCCTAGTTGTATATAAATTACGTGCTATGAATAAAATAATAATTTCATCTCCAACAAAACGTGACAAAATATTAAAGAATCTCCCTCCTCAACATATATTTACTTAACTAATGCTTTACTTATTACTGTTAGATTTGGTAGGAAGAATGAAAAAAAAGGAGAACGAAAATTGGAAAAATATATTTTCTATCCTTTAAAAAAAAAGTAGTAAAAATGATATATTTTTCTTCTTTTGTGTTTAGTTAGATAGATAAAAATAAAAATGACTAAATTTTTTTTGTACTGACTATGATTATGAGTGATAATCGAATCATGTTATGTCAGATTCGTATTAAGTTATTATGAATTTGTGTCAAATATTAGTCAAATCTAACTCAACTCATTTAACTTATTGTATTGTGTTGTGTTGAGTTGCGAGTTAAATTGTTTATTTTCGTGTTATATTCGTGTTCGTATTCATATTCGTGTTGACGCACATAAACTTTAAATAAAAAATTTAACGCTAATATTCTATTTTCACTTAATTGAATCTATATTAATATTTTTTCCTATAAACTAAAAATTAACTTAAATAAATATAATAATAATAAGTACAAATATATTTTTTATATATTAATTATGTCAGTGTTTAATAAATAGTTACAAATAATTAACATTTTATATTTATAATACTAGTTAAATACGTTAATTTCGTGTTAATTTAATGTTACCATATAAACGAAAAAATAGAGAAAGCGTTTATTTTTAAATAAACAGGTTGATGGTCTTAATTTTGAATTTAACTGATTGAACTGAATATGAGACTTATATTTCTTATTCGCGTGTCAGATCATTTTCAAGTTCATATTGAGTTATAAATCAAGTTCATGTTGAGTTTGAGTCATGTTATCGTGTTAAATCGAAAATTTCACCCCTAGTTAAGATGAATTTTTTTTTTTTATTATTTTTATTATTTTAAAAAATACATATTTTATCATTGCTTTTTATATGAAATTAATATATACATAATATATGTATATATCAAAAGATATATAGACAAATAAGATACATCTCAATACAAATAATTAATTTTACATCCACTTTCCTTCCGATTTTAAAGGGATTGATTTTAGTAAGTTAGAAGGAAAGTTAATTCATCCACTTTTTCATCCGTTCTATTTTCCTTCCTCACTAAACATGATGTTTTATTTATCCCTCCAACTTTTCTTCATTCTATTTTTTCCATCATACCAAATGGCGTATAAAACAGGAAGGAGTGTTGTTATGTCAAGCCGCCGATGTTAGCGTTTCGCACATGAAATTTTATATCTATATCTATACTATTTTAAAAGATATGTATATTTGAAAAATTTTTATTTTTCTGTTTTACTCTCTAACATTTCTTAATTATCTAAACTACCATAAATAAATATATTAATATCATTTATGACATACTCTTCGTGTTCTAAATTTCTCAATTAAATTATCAATTTATGAAACAAGAAAGATATAGGGGCACAACTCCTAAAAGATTGTTTCTCTTCCTCTATATACCTATTTATCTATCTATCTATACTACTTTTAAAAGTTACGAAACCAAAAACTTTTATTTACCATAAATATTCTCAAACAATTGTATAAAGTCACTTAAATCCTAAACAATAAATTATTCATTTTCATAAGTCTTCTAGAATTGTTTGACTTAAACTGACATTTAACACACTAATGTCCACTTTATCCTTCCTACTACAGTAGAGTTGTATTTAATACATCAATTGGCAGTTAAACAGAGCTAAAATACAAAGAGTTGGACGTTGTAACTTCTGCGAATAAATACTAAGGTGTAGGGAGTATGTCAGTTACCATCTGAAAGATGAATCGATTCATGGCTTTGATATTCAATATTATGGCTTCTTACTCTTTATTTCTATTGGCATCAAAGAAATGCGGTAAATTAATGTAGAATACGAAAGGAGCACGGGGATTGTCTAGGAGCTCATTTGAGCTTCAATAACAACCGCATAAATTGTTCTTTCACTCTTTAGGCCGTTAATTCTGGAGAAGCCTCCAAATCTATATAGCTCTATTTGAACCTTATTACATAGTGTCATTTGAAGGTTAGGTTGTTTGACCTTTTCTGCAGGGCCACGAAAGAACCAAGAAAGCCTCCAAATCTATATAGCTCTACTTATATGTAGGTTATCCTATTGCAATGTTATGATTGTAGTTTATGTCACTTTTTGGGTTTGTCTCTCTTTATGATGATTTCATCTCCCCAAGTTAAAGTGAAATTATGCTTTCGTTTAAAAGTCATTTATCAATTTTTTTGGTTATGAAGTGTTCCTGTAATAGGCTGTGAAGTTCCACAACCGATGCAGATGTGACTACATGAAAAAAAAAAAAAAAAAGGGAGAGAGAGAGGATAAAGTGGCGTGTTTTTGCTGATCTCTTGATTTGCCTCTTGCAAAAAAGGAAATATTGTCCAGTCTCTTTTCTACACCCACATGGTCTTCGAAATCAAGGGATGGGACTGGCATAGAGCTTAAGGTAATTATTCAATTTATGATACATTTTTTTCCCCGAGAGTAGTGCGCGATGCATGTTCGCTATCAAAATTACTACTAAATTAATTCCAAATGAAAACTTAGGGTCAAAATTAATCAACTAAGATGGATTATGGTAACCTCTCACACAATAATTGAATTTATTTTTCCTAGAACAAGTTTACATTTTTTTCTAATGCTAAATGAGTCCAAGTCATACAACTTTGACTCCAAGCCAAGCTCAAAACACTTAAGTGGCATATTAAACATACAAATCCAAGAAATTGAGCTATTAAAAATGCAGTATATAAAAAGAAAAACACATCAACTTGAGGTCCAATTTGCATCCACAAGGATATAGACATATTGTGAAAGACTCGAAATTCAACAAGCAAGCAAATTAGTAGAAACATAACTACAAAGGTAAAATGGGAGTACGAGAGAAATTGAAATGTGTCGGTTGTTTCAATAACTGATTTTAAATAAATTGCATGATATCTTATTTATATGATTTTTGTGAAGTTGAGAATTAAGTAATTAGTTTCCTCTTTCTTCTTTCAGTTCAACTTTTCTACAACGAAATGCTTTCCCTTGATTAAGAGAAAGCGAGGATATTTTTTTAGCTAAGGGTGCTGCCAAACTCACTTATGGTGTACAATAGTTATTAAAATCACATTTTGTGACATGCATCTAAAAACATTTTAATGTGTTAACTTTTCAACCTCATAAAACTACCTAGAATTGGAGAAAATACTCAGTGTTTACTATATTGATCCTTTTGTTGTTAGGCTTTGTATGATAGCAAAGCTCATGATGGCCAGCCCTCAATCAATTGACAAGTTTGCCTTCGATCTAATGATAAATTCTTTGGTTTGACAAAATGACGTTATTAACCATTGTGTACAGTATAATTCCAGGCATATTATAATTTTCAACAATTCCAATTTGGTACTTGTATGAATTCACACAAGAAGATATTAATTAGAGGAATGGAAAAAAAAGCCTAAAACATAACATAATTTCCTAAATTGAAAAATCAACTGTAGAGATAGGATTCATATAATACTTCCATTACCGGAACAAACACTTGAATATGAACAACTATTGATAAGCGAGCTTTGAAATTTTATCTCCACAAGTAGAAATGATATTTTTATCATTAGTTGCTGCACAATTATGGCAGTTTCTAATGGCTAAGAAATAATGTAAGTTAAACTTCTATATGTGCTTTTGGCAAAAAAGAAACGATCTTACTATGCATGTGTTACGTGCACATTTTTTAGAAAAAATATAAACAAAATAAAAAATATAATTGAGAAAAGGAAATCCGTTTTGGGGTAGAAATTTCCATTGGTTCACTTCGAGGAGAATTTGACCTCCCAAACTCACATATATTCAATATATTTTTCATTCATTTAATATCTTAAAATACAAATAAATAACAAATAAAAGATAGTTACTAAATCCATTGACCCCACTACCTATATAATTATCCAATAAATCTTACAACTATACCACTAACCCACTCCCTACATAAACTCCTAAAATTAGCTTACATAATATTTAGATAAATTTAAAATTATTGATTTTACATTTGGTGTCTAGCTCTCCAATATCCTA